TCCTCAGTTATTTTAAGACCATGAGTATTGGTCTGGCTGGGGCTCAAACCCTCAACCTCCTGCACAACACAATCCGGCACTCTAGCCAATTGAGCTAACCGGGAGGCGGTTAGGAAATACTGGAGGAGAAGGGAAATACTGAAAAGAAAAGGGAAGGGGAGGAAAAGGGTGTAGCAGGTTTGGGATATCCAGGAGATACTGGAAAGAGAAGGGGAGGGGAGGGGAGGGAAAGGGTGTAGCAGGTTTAGGATATCCAGGTCCCCAAACTCATGAATGCTCATGAATTTTAATAAAACCTTTTTTAATTTGTAGCACTTTTCTCGCCTATATCCATCTCTCTTTATAGTATATAGGAGCCAAGATCATCTCAAAGTAATAGAAACTGTGCAGAAAAAAGAATGACCAATTATGATTGGCTCTGATGGTTTGAAGAGATAGCACTATAAATTTCTGTTCTAGATCAATCACTTGCTCTATTTCGAAATGCAACTCCCTTCCCTAGTCCACCATCCACAACTAAAGAGGGTCTCTTTGTACCTAGCAATAGCCTATATACTACATTTGGTATGGGTTATTATAATTTCAATTTGTACACAAAAATGTGACAAACATTAGCATACATTTTTCCCAAAGATTTATCGTAATATGGCTGCCAACATTTCAGAGCTTTCACACATTTATATTGATGTATCCTTTTTTAAACCTTGAATAGCCCTAGCTACTTGCGGGCCCAAGCATTGTAATTTTCTTATTAAGCTTAAATACATTTGTTGTTGTTGTTGTTGTTGTTGTTGTTGTAGTTTAACCCTAGTGTGCACATGTTGCCTACATTTCCTAAAGTGCTGACAAGGAGAATTTAATTTTGTTAAACATTCAAAGGTTCTCTAATTGATGATCATTTTCTTTATTCTCCTGACCTTAATGTGTGATTCAGGGGTAATATTGTAAGGAGAAATTAGATGCTGGTCACTTTTAGAGGTAATTGGAAGCAAAACCCTGTATAGGGGTTAAACCACTCCCACACCCCATATAAAATACAAACTAAAGCAGTTAATATCTCACCACATTTTGGGATGGAGCCACAAAAGCAGTTGGTGGTGTGACAGCACATCCACATGCCAAAGCAGTCCTCTTGAGGTGTTTTTCTGCACTCTTTGCATCTGTTTCTTGCTCCATATTATTTTTCAAAACCAAGGCATCTGCAGGACAACTTCAACTTCAAATCTCATAAAGTATCTTTCCCTTATATGCAGATATCTTCTTTTTCCTATGTTACTGGCACAAACCAACATCCCTTTTTCAGTATGCAACAAAGAAAATTAGAGATGTCTTAATGTAGGCTGGGTCAAGTGGGAGTAAAAAAACACCTTCCCATACTTTCTTGAGGTTACTTAAAACCTTCAGAAATTACTTGTACCCTGAAATTGAGACCTTTTTAAAGTTTGCAAAGTTAATTGCATTTTGTTTTCAGGGTAAAGTCTGTGCTCCAGTCTAATGGCCCAGTATCCAACCAAAACTTATCTTAGTTTCCATGGTAGCAAGAAGTGACTTAGAGTATTCCTACCAACCCTCCCCTGGATGGGATGCTTGTTAATTGCAAAGTTACCCCCCCCCCAGCATTTCATCAGGCTTCCTTGACACTTTGCTAGTGCCCATTTCTACTCCTGGGTGGACAGAGGCACTGCAAGAGTAAAGAGTCTTGCCTGAGAACACAACACAAGGACACTGCCAGGTCTAGAACCCAGGCCCCTTGACCCAAAATCCAATGCACCAACCATTAGACCACAGCAACTCTCACTGGCTTTCTTGCCTGGCTACTTAATTTTTTGGAGGAGGTGATATTTTGAAAGCTCTATGCTGCTGACTTTGAGTGAAATAAGGAAGAGATTAACCTAAAGAAAAATAGCAATACAAGGAAACTATTTAAGAGGTAAACATCTCTGTCACAATCAGTCCTACGACCAAAATTCCATGATTGTGTAAGTTTTTATCATCAACCTTTTTTATCCCTCACTTAAGCAGATAAAACCTCTATCTGCAATACAGCTAACTAAAAATACATTTCTGATGTATAATAACTAAAAAAAAACAACAACTTAAGCAAAAAAAAATTATAGAGTCCATTGACATCCCAACCAACTCATAACACCCTACCGGCTCATCCACAGAGAAAATTTAATGTCATGATTTTCACTCCGGATTTTCTCTCCGTTCAATGCAAAGCTTCAACACTCTCCTCCTCATGGGCCACCCCATGGGTATTTGAACCTTGCCTGGCCAGGGTGGGGAATTTTGAGCTGGCAGTGTTAAGTCTTTGCAGTGGGTTATAAGTGTTATATTTAGTTCTTAATAACCAAGCGGAAGGTCTGTATAGGAGAATCTTGACTGAGTGCCAGTACAGACCGAACACAGTGAGGCCTGTACCAGCGACCGAGGTCAAGATTCTCCCATACAGACCGACCTAGCTCGGTTAATAAGATGTTTATTATATGGCTGTGTCTTATATGCCAATTTTTTATATTCTTTGTATCTTTTTGTTTTCTACACCGCTCTAGATGCCGGTCTAGATGGGAAAATCTAGACTGCTTTCAATATTGATTTCAGCCAATCAAATTCATGAATTTGATAGTTCCCAGTCCTTGTGAAACACAGCCATATAATAATACTTATTATTACATCGCTCACAGCGCTCATGGGAAAGATGAAGTGGATCTTTTGTTCTGATTGGCTACCCGAGCGGGCAAGATGGGCCCATCTTGCCAGCTCAGGATTGCCGGCAATAATACCACACGTGAAAAAAAAATAGAATTAGAACTACATTCGTAATTCTTGGATGATTTCAGCAATAGAAACAGAAGAAGCGACAAGATAGTCAAAAGAAAACAGAAGCAACTCTCGTGCGTTTGTTGTGCTATGAGCACAGTTGGCTTTCTTTCCAGGCTCTTGAAGTAAACAAGTCACTCCTAATTCTTATTTGGTAAACCAAAATCCTATTACAATGTAATAAATCCTTTACTAACCAAGCCCGTTCAGTCGAGATGGCTGGATATTGGCCTCATTCTTTTTTGCATTTTTATGGGCCTCAACTTCATTTCCATCCATAAAAATGCAAAAAAAGAACTTGGCCAATATCCAGCCATCTTGAACTCACATTTGGTTAATAACCCATATATCTATATGGAGGTGTTTAAAAGTAAAGAGTTTACTTTTGCTAGTGAAAGGCTCAGAAAGAAGTGTACAAGGTCCAGGTTGTAAAGATTGGTATATATGTAGAAAGTCACAATCGCTGAATTTGCCTTGTACAAAAAAAGTGGGTGGATATTTGAACACAATTTTTGCCCTAGGAGCTGGGAATTTAAGCAAACCAGTCTTCAAATGTTAAAATGCCTAGGGGGTTGCCCCAGGGCAGGGGGTTGGGGGTGGGGGGGGGGAGTGTTGAAGCTTCAAAATGATTGACACAGTAATGGGTAATTTAGAAAACTGTGAAGGAGATAAGACGAGAAGAATCCCTTTGTATTCAGGAGACTTACGAGTATATAAGTAACAGCAGTTTTATATTTAGGTGGCCCAGGACCAAGCACTGGTGAGGTTTACTTTTTCATTCCCTAATATAATAAATTATAACAAGCATCCTTACTGAGCATTATTTCAAGAATTTTTCATTCATTATATCAAGTAGACTTCCCAAGTTCTTTGATAGTAATTCAATTTGATTTTTGCATGACTGTGAAATTCACAAAAAAACTTGATTTGTGATATTATCAGGGCATATGCATTTCTATATTCAGCCGAGTAATTACACTACAGTGCATTACTCACAGCTGAACCCTAATAATTTTCACTGCCATACTCACCCTTACCATAAATCTCCTATTAAGCCCCCCTCTGACAAGCCCCCCCCACTCCTCCCCCTTAAAAACAAAAATTCAAATAATACTCATGTCAGTAAGTATAACAAATTTACTACTCAAGTACTGCAATTTAATCATACAACTTATCAGACTTTACTGAGGGTTTTGACGCCATCAATTTGGTAAAATTAAAGAATCGTAAAATGAGAAAAATTTTTGAATAAATGCAGTACATCATACCCTGTTTTACCCTGGTAGTGAACATTGGGCTGAATTAATAAAAAGCCCCCCCCCTCTATTCTTTTTATTTCTTTTTTTTTAATTATTTACTTGTAGATCAGACAAAATAAATAAGAACTCTATCAAGAAACCATCCACCTGCTGATAAGCTTGTAGGTCCTCAAAGTCTGTTTGTAGGATGGCATATTAGAATCCCATGAAGTTACAAATAAATCACTTCTGGGACTTAACATGTAATTGATAATGCTTAAAAGTTTTGATTTTAGAAGAAATTATAGTGCTATTTAGAAGATGGGGAGACACACTCTCCAGGTATTGCTCCACCCCCACGCACTGATCTTCACAACCTTCCTTCTGGCCCCCCACCATTTCTAAATGCCATTAGACACTGCAACATGGTAAAAGTTTGACAAAAAAATCCACATAAGTTCCATTTCAGAGGAGTGAATCTCACTGTCATTTATAATTATCTGTGAGAATCAATTGGCCCTTTGCAGTTCACAACACTAATATTATTTGTATCTAATTTACTATTTATGGTTAAACAAATGCCGTATTTCAAGTTCACATAGTTCTGTTTGTGACTCAGCTAACGAATGAACCTTGGAAGGGCGAGATTTCTAATGGCTGGTATCTTCTACTTACAGTTTGCAACACAACAGTGACAATAACAATAATAAAAAAAACATTTGTATATCAAAGTATAGAAAATGAACTGTCTCACCGAGCACCATATTATAGATGTCTCTTCAAATGTTTCGATCGTTGCGTGACAGTTCCAAGAATCGGGAGGTTTTCTCGGAAGACAACTATATCACTTTCACAATTTAAAACATTCAAGGCTATCTTTCACAACTAATCATCGTTCAGCAAAAGAATTTTTGCCTTTGCACGCCAATCAGAGATGAAATTGCCTCACATGGTAACCAAAATGAGAAAATTAAGCAAAGTAATTCCGCTGAGAATTCTTCCAATTGGCTAAATTCGTTCCAGACTCTTCGCGGAATAAAATAGACGCCTGGCGAAAACGCGATTTTATGGGAAACTTGGAAGTCAAATCGATGGCAACCCTCACTCTTCTTCGCTCTTCCATTACGTTTTGACAATAAAGAGTTGTTTCCGATTATGTTGTTACCAGTAGACCACAACTACGAAAGGGAAAGTCCCAGAGTCCAAAATTATTTCTATTTCGTTGAAGAAATATTTCAATTCCATATCATAACATAACAGTTAGGAACGTTCCAGTGAGGAAGGTTTCTTGGCGAACAGATTGTGGATGAGATTTACCGCCCACCTCGATAACCTCTTCTTCAAGTTTTGTCAACTGTGAAACATTTCAAAATATGTTTTCGAAAGTACAGATCGAATGCTCTGCTTTTCAATCATTTTTAGTGTGGCGCATGAAACAACAATATCGTCACTGCCGTAACTAGGCAATTATTTAAATAAAAGTAGATTAACTCCAGCTCCTAAAGTCAGAAGACGAACACATGTAGTAACTAAAGATCACCGAAAACAGCCCCAGGAAATTAAAAAGAACACAACACAACTGTCAAAAGACAAAGTTCAATTATTTATTTCCGTGAAGTCTTATCGAAAATTTACACATTACAATAAACGCATTTTACGTTTTCGTATCACAACGTCAAGTTTTTGGCGTTGGAAAGTAAAAAAAAGGGCAGATTTTCCAAACTATGAGGCTCGAAAGTAATTAATAATATTAACGAGGGTGTGAACAGTTTCAGACGATGAAAAAATATTGAAAAGTAATAGCAATTTTTATTCAAAAGATAATGTTAAAATAACAGACTAGAAAATTACCAAACCTGCACATAATCTTAATGCAGCCGGGATGTATAATACAATTAAAGGAAATTAAATGCTCATGTTTGTATCAGTTGGGTCACGAGAGGTTAAAGCACAACTCTAAGTAGATAAAAGTGAACTGATATAGCATGTTTGCTGAAGGACATAATTGACGAGATGAAAGGTGATATTAAACGAGGGACGCTAATTTCCATACATACCTGGGTAAGCCTTTCTCTACAATAACACATTTAACGTACGAAAATGAAATATTCTGGGTGAATATGGTCACTGAGCCAAGCAGCAGAAATCAAATTCATAATGGTGGTATTTGAATAAATCAAAATGTTTCAATTTCTTTGCTGACACCTTGAATCAATTACTTAGCAATTATGTCTTTTTAAAAGTTTCAATCTTGACAGTCCAAGCCTTCACTCGTTCGAACATAGTCCCAAAGCCTCCCTGAGGATGTGCAGAGTTGGTCAAGAACCATGCTTTGTCCACAGTCGAGGTTATCTGATCCAGACAAATCTTCTATTCATTTTCGAGTTTATCCTGAAAATAAAGAAGTTAAGAAGTTTTGATAACACGAAACACTAAGTTGATATACCACGCTGTCTGGTGCCGAATGGGTCGACAAGCTCGGAAAAACAGATCAAGCGGCCAGTTAAGAAGAGCAGAACTGTTGCATTCTGTTGATATTGTAAATATAAATATTTAGTTCAACAACGCAGACAGTCGTGTTCCATTTCGACATTTCATCACTTAGAAAGAGCAAAGTGAAGACATCTAATTAAACGAGAGTCGAAATTCAGATATTGATTACAGCGGAATTTCAAGACAATTAATCAAAATGAAAGACAATGAGGAATGGCAAACAAGATGCGATTGTTATAATGTTGGTTACCTGATGTCTCTTCGTCGTCACTCCTTTGGTAAAATTCTCCTTCGTGCCGTCTTCTTCTAACTTTTTCTTCTAAACTCTCCTCTCCTTCATCTGAAGGGAAAGAAGAAAGTTTTAAGAACCCACCAGGCATATATGTCGTTGGATATAAACGAAAACGAACCTGGTGGTTCTGGAGTGACAAAGGGAGTCGGTGGTGTGAGCGTACAAGCCAATGCCAAAGCATCCTTTTTGAGACGTTTCTCCAGACTTTTAGCTTCGGTTTCGAGCTCCATATCGTTCTTACCGAAATTAAACCTGGTTTGCAACTTTTAGAGAGGCAAATGTTGAAATTTCCACGCAACGTGTTAGACACAATGACCTGAATATTTCAATATACCACAAACAGCTGTCGGGAGAGTCCCTTTACTCTGCGCCCTCCAGCTAAGTTCTGCCCCAGCCAATCACCATCCTGCAATTCTGACAGCTCGTCATTTGCAGTGACGTTTGAAAGTTTCAATAATACACGGCTCAGAGAAGGTAGCTGTGTTTACTTTTTGATCAACCAATCAACAAGCGAGGTTTGAAAGCGGTAGTTAACCCTTATGCAGATTAATGGCTTGGAATAGAATTTCTACACGCAAAGATGCAAAACAAAGAAATGAGTAAATTTCGAGTGAGATTCTTGCGTAAAACGTTGATTTGAAGGCTTTGGATGCTCATTTCATCGAAACTAACGATTTGTTTGGGCGGTGGAAAATGCCCATATAAGGTAAGGTTTTCATCTTGGATGGTCGGTGACAACAGATCTGCTGCATAGGCACATTATTTGCGATAAGATCATGGCTATGTAAGCAATTTCAAATCTGCTTACAATGCATTTGCATTGTTAAAATCGAAACCACGGGCTAAGCACATTCTTGGACCCACACGTAATACAAAAACAGGAAACTGAAAGCGATTACTAAGCACCTTTGGCCCGCGACAACAAAAAATTCATTCACATTATGATGGTTTTCCCACGATAAACATGGCGCCAGCGATTCAACCCATTGCACCGTTGACAGGTGATCGATCATCATTCTGTGACAGGTGCATGTGAGGAGAAAATACGAGATAATCATAGCGGAGCAAACAGCTCGTTTTAAAACCATTTCAAGGGAAATAAACTATTTGGGAGATAATTTTATTGAGGTCTTAGTCTAGGGAGTCGATGGTATGAATCACATTTGTCAAAGTGGGAGGAAAATATTTTGCGTGCAGGCATGCCAAGGCGGCAGCCTTTTGTTTGTGGAAGCATATTTCAGGAAACGAGTAACACTCGCGAGTGGTCCACGCGTAGAAATTTCTTGCGTGTATCACTCAGACTTTGGACCACGCTTTCGGATGAACCAAAAATTTGATAGATATGAAAGTCTGTTCTATTTTGTCTAACTTGGTTTGCTCACTGCTTTTTGTAAGGTATCAGAATTACAAACTCTGAGGTAAGAGGTTTTCATATTCTCCACTAAGTTTGATTGTCTAAAAGGCAGTCGTATAACACGCTACAACTTGCTTAAACATGAAATTTCGAAAATAATATTGCATCTCTACATTGCATTTTTGCAGTTTAGGGAGGAAGATGTTTACTTTGTATAAGACATGAGAACGTACAAAATGTTCTCTGCAAAAATTCCCGTTTATTTTCGTTTAACTTAATAAAATGAATATTTCATCTCTTTAGTGTGCACTCTAAATTTCATTTAGCAATTTAGGGAGGGAGATGTTTACTGCGTATAAGACACGAGAACGTACAAGATGTTCTTTGCTGAAATTTCTGTTTATTTTTGTATAGCTTTATGTTATAAATATTGCATCCCTACAGTGTACACTATAAATTACATAGGAGGAAGATGTATACTATATATAAGACATGAGAACGTACAAAATTTTTACTGTAGAAGTTCCTGTTTATTTCTGTATAGCTAAATGTAATAAATATTGCAGCTCTACAGTGTGCACTGTAAATTGTATGAAGAGAAGATGTTTACGTATATGAGACATGAGAACGTACAAAATGTTCTCTGCCGAAATTCCTGTTAATTATTGTACAGCTTAATGCAAAATAAATATCGCATCTATGGTGGGCAATGTTAATTACATTTAGCAATTTTGGAAGGGAGAAGTTTACTGTATATAAGACATGAGAACGTACAAAGTGTTCTCTGCAGAAATTCCTGTTCATTTTTGTTTAGCTTAATGTTTCAAATATTGCATCTCTACAGTGGGAACTTTCAATTGTATTTAGCAATTCAAGAGGACGATATTTTGACCACATATATATCTGACACATCCACTAGTAAGTTTCCAAGATAAAATAAAATTCATCCTTCATGCGGAAGTAATGTTCGATTCTGTAGGACTAAGCTGCGAACTTCCCATTGACTAAATACTGTACTGTAAAGTATTTGAGATGCTCAACAATATGACGACTTTAGGTCGAAATAACAGGAACACATAGTTATAAACAAAACAATCGGGACTTAGGGAGTCTTGGTTTCTTAAAGCTGTAGAATGTTCTGTCAGCAACAAAAAATGCACCTAAAATGAACTTCTGTAAAGAATTTTAGTTGCTAAAATGACGAAATTATTACGAGATAACTTGAATATAGAGTTATCAACAAAACAATCGGAACCCAAGGTGTCTTGATGTCTTAGGAGCTGTGCACTATTCTATTAAATTATGGAACGATTTACCGAGCAACATTAAGCACGCGAGCTCTTTACATAACTTTAAAGCCTTAATTAAACGGTTTTATACAGAAAAGCTCACGCTTTATACTCCGCCCTAACTAAGTGTTGCAGTCGGTCGGCAAATTATTTTATTCTATAGACTAAGCACATAAGTGCATATGTAACCTATATTTTTCTATTCTTTGTATTTTGTAAGGGGACAAATGTCAGTTGGGCTCGCCCTGTATTTTTCTCCTGCCATTATATTTTTGTTTATTTATTGCGTGTCTCTGTTCATGTATTTACTTGTAAATTGTATTTTTCAGTGGAAAATCTCAATAAACTAAACTAAACTATTACCGACAAAAATTGCACCTAAACTGTTGCGATCCAAAAGATGAATGCATTGTAGTGAAATAATTAATTGCTAAATGTTTCTTGTGTGTCGTAAATAGTTGAAAAATCCTTTATCACAGCATACATTGATAACATGGCTTTGGAGGTTCAGCTATATCACTAGGTAAGCTATAGATATGTTTTACGATGACAATGGAAACCATTTCAAAGTAAAAACCATCACCGTTGTGTGACAGAACGAGGTCAGATTGACTGACAGCAATAAACAAGATATCCTTTATTCTTTTCACAAGCAAAGTATGTCACCCTCTACAGTTTTTCCAGCCACAACAAAGCCAGACTTAAAGTGAGAGGTGGAAACAACTTAGTTGTTACTGCGCAAAATGAATGCAAACGAACTTCATCTCGGAAGCCATTTGAAGTTAGCGAAAATGAATGATTTTCACAGTAGCAAGAGGAAGTTTAATCGACTAGATACAAGGAAATCTTCAAGGCAAAAATAATTCCTTCATTTCGTGTGTTCTGGCTATTGCGTTGCGTGGTCAACAAAATTAGGCCCAATACATAGATTTTTCTTGCGCGCAGAGTAAAAATAGAAACATATATTTTGGACACTGACGAAAGTTGTGCGGTAGATCTAAGTAAAGGGTTTTTCCCCATTTATCTGACGTTTCGCGCGCATTTGATTGGCTAAATCTTAAACAATTAATTGCAACCATATAAAAACCCATCCCAAAGGAGTTTTATTCGCTTCGAAGAGGAACACTGAGTAGAAAAATTGGAAAGGAAGAGAATAATTTTGCTGTATATTGAGTATGAATCCACCAGATCCGAACGGTCGTTCTCGCTATGAAATCTTAAAAATCTGGATACCCACTCATGGAGTGGTTAACATCTACAGAAACCCGCGAGGAGGTAAGAACTACGCAGAAAAGTAATGATAGAGTTTTGAGACCTATTTTAACTGGGCTTTCATCTCAACAGAATACCATGTTGACAATGGATTTATACTCGAAAAGCCTGTCAATAGATATGGTGTAGAAAGACTCCGAGTTTTGGCCTCGCAAGGTGGTGTTATCAAAATTACAAGAGACGCAAGTGTTCCAGCGATGCAAAACAAGTATACAATCGAGCCAAGCCTTTCTATGGATCAGACTGAGGTTTGGGTTGATAACCCTTAGCCTCGGTAAAAAGGTAGGTATAGACGTTGATCTATTAGTTGCGATTGTAAATGTCGTTTTAGCTTTCTGTTCTGGGGTTTACGATTACACAAAAGTAAAAATTCTACAAGTGTACGCAGTAACGCGATGAGTCAGCAAGTTTGCGCAAGGAAGAGAAGCAAGATGGTTACGTCGATAAATACAGAAAGTGTGACTAAGCAAAGCAGAAAAACTTTAAATGATTGAGTTCTTTATGAAAGAAGTCCTTTTTTTTCTTGACTATAGGAAACCTCAACAACAACATGACAAAGACGAGGAGTGCGAGGGAGAGAGAGCGTCAGCTTTAATTTCTTATCTTGTATTAAAAATTCAACTTCCTATAATAAAATTGATTTGATTGTTTGAAACTATGTCTGTTGTTTCTGTTTATTGAGAGCTGATACTTTTGGCACAAAATTAGTTTTTCTTGCAAGCGAGACAGAGGACAAAAATAGGCCATGACGCAATGGGAAGGCTCACGGTTTCTGGATTGTGCGCAGAAGCGCGAAAAATGCGAGTACCCCTTGTGACTCAACGCAAGTACTCAAGAGCGATTTTCAATGCATTTGACTTGCACAAAGAACTAATTTTAAAAATGGCCGGGTTTGAAACAGATGAGCCGGACCTTTCCGACGAGTCTGAATATTGTCAAGCAGTGAGAATAGGGCGGGACGATAAAGGCGCCGAACTTACAATCTTTCACACACAAAGCGGAGGTCAGGCGAGATTATGTTTCCGCACTTACAAAATCACGGCCTAGATTCCATCAATACATTCCTTAAAATATATATTTTTAGGATACGAAATTCACAACGGATACCTAGCAGAGAAGAGGAAAGGCTACAGCCATGGTAGACGTTACGACAGGTTAACAATAGTTACACCCAGAGGAAAGAAAATCGTCGTTCGTCGCTACGAGGACGATGGAGGTGATTTCACAAAAATTGAGCTTTGAAAATGTTCATAGGAACATGGTGTCATAATCAACCTCTCTCACTTTTTTAGAGTTCGATATAATGTCACAAGGATATTGGATAAGTCAAAAGGACGTCGAACTTTAAAAAACGGTAAGAAAAAAGTATGGCGAATATGATGCCATACCTTTATACGAGAAAAATGCTCAATAAATTTGCCATGACAGCTCTAACTCAACTGAGCAAGTCTTTGGGACGCTCTAATGAAAATATGGTATGTCTATCTCATTTGCAGAGTACATCAATTTTACAAGATGTCTGAAAATGCTTAAGAAGACCTTCGACATTTTTCCTTCGTGACTTTTTCACTAATGTAACTTAGAAAGATTATCTTGCCAATCAGTAATAAATAAGACACTTTTGTAACATTCTCCATGTGTGTAAATGCGTCCAAAACATTTCGCCACCCAAAACTGAACGCAGCAACATGTATGTGATCAAAATACGTTTTCTCTCTTCCGAACTCCACGATCAATGCAGTTCCCAAAATAGCCTTTCGGTCATGTTGACATCTAAAGTACCCTACAAACGCAACACTAAACAAACCCAGAACCACGAGAACTGGGGCCTTACTGATAAATAAAACTGGTTTCAATTGGAACTTGAGTTATAGAGGGGTAAAAACTTTGAGGAGTAATCCGAGATAAGCAACACATTATTGCGAGTTCGCTGGAAGTTGGAGTGAGCGCCGGTCGGTAGAAGCAGACAAAACATATCGAGAGCATAAGTGCGTGCTGAGATGCAAATATCAGGTTTCTGCCATGCGCATTACAATTTTGCTGATACATCGTATTACCTGCGTATACATCACTGCCGATTTTCGGAAAACAACAGATAACAGCAAATTTTTCTCTCTGCGTTTTCACCCATTAGATTGTCGTAGATAATAGACTAAGATGTCTCAGTTTGAATATTGGGAACCGATACACTCTTTCACAGAAACAGTTCGTGTTGGAAGAGGCTGAAGTTATCTTAACGTAATAATTCGTTACAATAACCCCGGTTTTGGACGAGGAGGTAATTTGAGTCTGTTACTCAACGATGTTTGCGCGAAATAGGGTGTTACTAAAAAGGTCTCGCGCTCAAATTGTTCTCTTGTTTAGAATTCACCGTTGAATATGGGTGGAAACAACGTGAACAAGAGGTGAACGGAGGACGAACACTGTGTGTTCAGACATACGACGGACACGTTTTCCAGATCACCCGTCGACGACGAGGAGGTATTTTTCTTTTCTTGAATTTCGATTCAAATACCAACATTACTCCTAACATTACTACATGTGATTCTATCTTAAAGAATACGTAATGCAAACACCCGGTTACTGGTTCCTGAAGGTATAATGCGGCTAAAATTTGTGAAGGTAAGATACTTCCAGTTTAATTCTCTGCAGCAAAAATTACTGATATTGGTTGACAAGCCTCCAAACACTGTAATCTACTGATTCACTCAAAGTTGTTCAGTTACGTTATTCTTTACTGATCTCACCTATAAAGAAGAGCTAAATCGTTTCGACGCAGAAGCAAATTCATCATATATGTTTTATTTGTAAAACAAAAGTGCACCAATTGATCCATTGTTTCCCCTTCTATTTCAGGCTTTGCCAAGAAGAACAAAAAATTTATCTCTATATTAACTAGTCAATCGAATTCTATAATCAGTTATAAACTAATACATAAATTTTGTAGCAATCAGCAAGAAGGAAATAAAATGTAAACTGTTAAGATACAGATACGTCTAGCCTCTTTATTTGTATAATTGCAACGACGTGTATCCCCTTACATCATCAAAATTGGATAAAAATATATAAATTTCATCCAACACAGCTATGGGCAAAATAGGCACAAATTGTAACAAGCACCTTGGCATTTCGCATAAGACTACATATAGGAAAGAGGACAAAAGCTTACTTGTTTAACGTATTCAAACTCAAAAGTGTTATACTAAATCACTATTTAGATTCTAAGATTTGCAGATGGTCGAAACGATTAGGTTTAGGAAGCACTACTTGTCGCTTCATGAACGACCCTTTAGGGCTCACGAGCGCAGATATAGTGAGGTGATCCGACTAGGCATAGAAGAGAACAATGCTCGAGAAATGTTTTTTCTGACCCTCAGAAGCTAAGTGACGCTGGTTTTCTATAAGCTAGTTTGAGAAAAACATATACGCAACTGGTGATAAACTGGGTAAATATGTTGATCAACCATCTTAGTTTCGCTTGAACAAATCCAAAAATGTCCCCGCCTGATCAAAATACGCTAAATTATAAGAGTGACTTCGTTGAAATATGGATTGCTATGGGCCATGGACGTCACTTAATCAAAGTCACACGTTTTAAAAGAGGAGGTAAGTTCAGTGTTACTGCAAGCGCTTAATTTTTCATTTAGATCCGTGTTAGAAGCACTTTGATATTTTTTCTTGTTTTTAGCATACCAGATAGAAAATGGCTACTGGATATCGACACCAAAGCGACTTCAGTTGTCAAGATGAGTTAGGTAAAACCCGCTGAAAATCATAGTTTCATGCTCCAGATTTTAATCTAATACGTGCACACCCAATCAGATAGTACTTGTCACAATAAACAGCGAGGTTCATTCGCTTACTAGAAGGCGTTCTTCACAGACAAATACGCTGCGTTTCTAATAGATCTCGTATTGTGCGAAGATCGATAACTCCTTTATTTCATTACAGATTCTCTGACGAACATGGCTGTGCTATTATGACGGAAGCAACTAGTATACAGTGTATAATGTATCAGTTTTGTTATGTAAGTCGTTCTCGCTCGCCTCAAAAGTTTTAAGTGAATAAAAATTGGGTTTGGTAAACTCATTGTACACTCAGCTTGTTATATATTTTTTCTTGGTGGAGTTCAACTGTGCTGGCTTAAAACATGATCTGGCACACTGGAGCAAACATATTGAAACAAGAAGATCGAAAGTCAAATTCTCATTGCCTATTGTCTCGCCTCACTTGTTATGTATTCAAATCTTTTGGCGGGCTATGCATTCGCATTGCATATGCACGAACTAATCATCTCATCGCCAAGAAAAGGTATCGCTGTCGTCTTCCTCAGTTTTTCTGCTATTACCTTGGTCAAATATCACTCAACCAAATACCAAGATGTACGGGTTTCGCAATCTAGAACCGACAAACCGATTTTCCGAAACAGTTTATGTTACAAGACACTTTGTTCAAGACAGAAAATACGACGTGAAAATCGTCTACCACAGCGAAGGGCGAGGAGGTAAATAAAGATTCTGATTTTTCGTGGTCTTTTAGATCTCAATGATTACTGGAAAACATGTTTCTCCTGTTTTCTTTATCATTTAGTATTTGAAGTTGAAGGAGGAAAGAAAATTTCAGATGAAAAAGTAGAAGGAGGTCGCAGACTAAAAATTAAGATTAATCAAATGGAAAAATGTTTTCATATCACTCGGGCGCAAGGAGGTTCGTATCTTTTGATCTTTACTTTCATTATTTCGGCCGAGTGAATTACGAAGAACACCACATCTAAATTTTCATCGTTCTCTTTTGCAGAATACACAGTCTCTCCCGGATACGATATAGAAGAAGAAGAACGCGTATACTACTAGAAAGGTGAGACACTTCTTAAGTAGTTCCTTCTTGCTACACAGAAAACCGATTTCAAGCCTTAGCCTAACCCTAAACCTAAGCAATACTAACCGCTCACTTCACCATCTGTATCACTCAGTTCTAAAGAAACATCTTACCTCTCAGAAATCTCTTGAATGCGGAAACTAGCGGACAGCAACTAGCAGACAAAATCCATTTCATTATAAAACGTTCTCACTTATATGTGATCCTCTGTCAAAACAATTTCTCAATATGCCCGTGCTCTTTTCTTTTTCAGACTGACGACTTACATTTCGCATTCCTGATTACTCTGGGAATTTGATAAATCAAGTTCTGTCCACAATGGAGGTCAAATGTTTTGATTCCTCTCAACACAGAAGTAGCCGCCATGTTGTTTCGCATAGTAGTTTTAACACACCATCCTTGCTACTAAATTAATATCCGCTAACAATAGCCCCTTAACGTGACAAATCTAAGGAGAGCTAGAATATGCTTTTGCTTGTCTTGGTTAATTTCGTCGTGAATTTCTATCCGTTTGACGCCTTTGAGGAGCTTTTTTTCCCCTGAAGCGCGCATAAAACTCAGCTTAAGCACAGCCTGCTGTAACATGTAGGCAGTTATTAGGAAACAAGTTACTGAACTCGTCTGATTATAATTTAAAACTTAGCGAAGGCGTTTTTTGGAAAACTGGAAAACTTGAATAAATATCCATTCTACATGGTTAAGTGCGAGAGTTATTTATGTATCGTAGCAAGAAAATGGAAGCGGTTATAAGCAACTAGACAAACCGTTTGAAAACATGCGCGTCAAAATCAATTGTGAATGAAATATTGAGAACTGTTCTACGCACGCATCCTCGAATCACATTTCACGCCTGATTTCGTCATATATGTAACGTTTGGATACAGTATCTGGCTCTTTGCAATTTCGCTACACGATGGCGCAACTACCCGCAAAGACCCATCTCAAATATTAATTAGTGGCTAAAAATAAATCTTTTGAGAACCATCTAAAAATGCGCAAAATAAACATTTCTCAAGTCGCACACGTTGACAAACATACGAGAACACCAGGTACTTCGTTTTCAGATGAGCTAAAAATATGTTATGACACAATAAGTTGGGGAATATCAGTGCTAGACAATCACTGCTGAATGCTATAAAAGCACTGTACTTCGATTCTCTGCTAATTTGATTCGAAAATCGAAGGATTGTGCTGCTCAAGCTGTTTTTTGTCAACAAGAATTAAGATGGCTTGCTTCCAATCTAGAGAACCAAAAAATTTATTCGTAGAAACTGTTCAGATTGGAAGGAACTTCGTACATCACAAAGATGTGACGCTTTACTACGACTCTCGTGGAAGAGGAGGTATGTTGAATCCGATGAAGCTATGTGTGACCTCAAATTATCTAATAAATATAAAATTAAATTTCTCTTTTTATTGTTTTCTACAGAATTTTCCGCGCAAGGAGGAGATATACGTCACATTCAACGCCACGGAAGAGATCGAAGGCTAACGATTGAAACCAATACCGGACACAGATTTGATATCACTCGTCACAGAGGGGGAGGTTTGTAAAGTTCTATCTGCATGCTTCAGTTTAGAAATTTCATCATACACCTTCGATGTCACCTTTTAGACAAACCGTGGTTCTTTAGGAACGGTTCATTCCAGACAACTCAGCTTACTGATTCATCCGCTGGTTTCACGAGCGTAAATCAACTGCGTAACTGTAAAAACATGCTCCCTGATTTTGAGACTACTTGTAGATAGAGAAAATAGATGTATACTTATTAATGTTGTGTCGAATGCTGTTAACTCGTGCGCGTCCAATTATGGCTTTAAACACCTGACCGACAAAATCAACTACTGGAGGCCAAAAAGCTAAATAATACCCATTCACTCTCTCTCTTTCTCTTCGCTCTAAAGGATATCATTTGAACACTGGCGGATTCTGGTATAAAGAGGGAGAACGTGTATACTACTAGTTCAAAGGTAAGACACCTCATTTATATATTGTATATATTATATATTAAACAGACTAAGAGAAGTCGTGGCTGTGAAAAAGTGCGCGATGCGGGTTGCAGAGCGTTTCAATAGCGGTTATAAATTAATGACAGGAAGATCGTTTCACCATTACTCTGAGTTTCACGCAGCTTGCACTGCGATCGTCAGACGGTTATATATATTATATACATTATATATATTATATCTCCTTGCGCAATTCACAGAAAGCGATTTTCACGAGCGAAACCTATCTCGTCGACTATTTTATTCAACAATGGAGTAAGGTGTCTTCTTAAAGGAGCACCACACATAAGCAGCAGTCAAATTTACCTTTTTACTAAAGTATGAATTACAACTTTAGATGAGTGTTAATGTTCATTTAAAACATGCGCCAGTTGATCTACAGTTACGTCTTGCTCTATTGCAGGTTTTCCTTGGAGGAACCATTTGTTTATCTATTTATCACTAAGTTTATCACAAGATCCTAGGACAGTCAAGGCTGTAATCGGCGAAAATGTTAACACATAAAAATTCCGTAATCAGCACAATAATAATAAAATTTGTATTGTGACGACACATAAAAGCCTGGTCTCATCATTTGCATGGCTTCGATGTCAGAAATTCCCTAACATCGCAAAAAGGAGCTAAAAATAGGTCTCTTATTAATAAGTTGAGAATGCGCAGTCAAAGCAAATATCGTGACGCGCTGGTTCGAAAACGTAAAGCGGCGGGACAAGACAAAACAGAAGAGATATAACGAGAAATCAGGTTATTTGGTGAGGAAAACATCACAGTTCAACACCAAATTATCGTCTATCTCCTCGAGGATCGTGGTTAGTCAAAATGAGTGACGGATACAATCCCCCCGAGCCAAACGCGCGCAAATATTGCGAAGTAATCCAGATAGGCATAGAAGATGACACTGCTGAAGTAACGCTTTTCTATACTCCAGAAAGAGGTTTGAAGTATACTTTTCTGTACAATTGTTTGAGATAAAAACGCAGCTACATCTGCTTAAAATCGGCACTTTTTAAAACGTCAACAGAATTCCAAGTTAGTGATGGATACGTATCGGAGGATAAAATGGAGAGTAATTATGGCCGGCGATACCGCAAATTGAAACTCGTTACTTCAAAAGCTAACGTGATAGAAGTCAGGCGATATACCAACGGAGGTAGGCATTTACGATCATCATAGAAGTTTTCAACGTTATTTGCCAAACATTGATGCACCAAATCGTTCTTTTCCGCCAAGAATATCACGTGGACGCGGACGGGAGAGACTATCACTTCGATGGAAGAAAAGTTGAAGTATAAACGTAAGTAGCTAGGCAAGGCAAAATCTAGTTGTACGCCAAAGCTTGTTTGCTTCTTAGACCCAAGGGTGTAATTTTCTGTATTTGGCCAGAAAAAGGCGAAGAAATACGTGCATGGGATATTGAGCAACCAAGCTACAAGCATGTACGCAATGATTCGCTCCTGTTAGAGGAGAGGAAACATGTCGAAATGGCTTTTTCTTACGACAAGAGGGACCATTTCACCGCGCAACGCTTCGCCAATTCGAGTGTTTTCGGTAAATCCAGAAGATAGCTGTACCAAATATAAATTTGCAGGAAATTGATCCTACTTATCTGGTTAAAAATAGGCATTTCTGCTAGGAGTAATATAATGAAAATTGTCTTTTCCTTCAGAGGATCACTCACGAAGGACTTCAGGTGACAAGAAAGACAGCCGACAGATCTTGATTCCAATCTAACGTAAACGAAAATCATGTTAATTGCCATAAATAGTCGAAATGTTTCTCCATGTCTGTGCATTGGTAAAACTGTTGCTATAATAATGTAATCAGTTCAGCAAGTTCAAAGATTTAAAATGCCCTTGGCGAAGCAAAAATAAAGCATTCTTGCCATGTTCAGAGTCAGTTTTCTCCTTTCCATAGCTCCGCCTACTGAATAATTATAACCTCTCACGCGAAACACGCACGTTGCAGATGATTGAAAAATCAAGTCAAGCTGAAGATGGCTTTTGATGATCGCGCCACAAATGACTATTAAGCTGACAGCATTGCCTTTAAGAGCAAAAAATTAAACTTAGAGATATAAATGAACAAGTTTTGAGTTAAAATTGTAAGTCAATGAAAAAGAGAAATTAATTCCATGCAAGAACGTAAACAATCACACAAGTTCAAGAGTGCGATAAAAATTACGTCGCTCGAGAAGCGCGCGCGAACGAGGAAGTGAAACTGAAAACTCGCCCATCACAAACAAAAGCTTAGACAAACCTGCTGGGAGAAGCAGATTTCTCTCAGTGTATTCGCAAACCGCGCATAAGAGGTTGCCTTCGAGAAAGTGCGAACATTCAATCACAATTCACTTGAGGGAAATGTCGGGGCATGAAGGACATGAGCCAAGACAACGAGAGGTAGTATCCCTTGGAAGACGCTTTTGGCATTGGAATCCAAATGTTATACTACTGTACGAACTCGATAGAAAACGTAAGTGGCTTTAATTGTTTCGCATAGCACTAAGTTTCAAATTTCCTTACACGACATCTGGAAATTGTAGTTTTTCAAGCCAAGTACGGACAAATAAAAAAGACAGAAACCTCTGGGGCAGACACAAAAGTGACACTCGAATCGAACGACGGATATCGTTATGTCGTCACTCGGCATGGTAAAGAAGGTAAGTGAAGACTAACTGATTTCACCTTTTAGTAGGGAGTTATGCATTTGTGATGCTGCCGTAGTCGACAGATATCGCGATTACACAGGATAATTTTCAACTTCCCATTGTGTTTATGGTCTGAACTAGGGTCAGTTGAACACCTTCGAACTAATTTTTTATGAAAATTTTAATCGTTTGTTGAGCAATTTTATTTTAATAGCTTCTTCTTGTTCATCTTCATCATAGATTATAGCACTAATTGGTATAACTGGACGAAAGTTACGACTGTTTCTTATTAGCTGTGGTAAGTGTGTAAAACTCAATATGCTCAATCATATTTTCTTTGTAAATACTGGCATACCAAACAAACAAATGCAAATGGCGGCCACTCTAGTTTCAAAGCTATTCTAGTACTAAAAATTTGCTCCTTAGCGGACACAATTCTAAGATTGAGACCTAGTAAAAGAAGCCTTGAGGACGTTGGTTTAACCGAGTACTTTGCTTGGTAGTGCCATGTTTCATTACCTTAAGCAAATAGTACGTGAAATTTCTTTGTTTGTTATCTGCAATTAAAATGCGTTCTTTTCTTATTTCATCTCACTTGCAGACTGTTCAAGAGCACTGCCTAGGCCATTCTGTACAACACTAGGAAATTGTTGATTATAAACGAAGCGAAAGGCTAATAAAGTTTTCAGCATGGCATAAACCAAATATGACTCTTCATGTAACTTCGCTGATTTAAGATTTTGAGAACCAAGGGTGTGAGTTCCTGTATTTGGCCTGAATAAGGTGAAGAAATATGGGCGTAGGATATTGAACAACCACTATGCAGGCATGTAAGCAATTATTAGCTCCTTTTGAGTAAAGACGAATAACAAAGTCGACATGACTTTTCCTCACGACAAGAGGGCCCACTTCAATCGCTATTCGTTTAGCAAAATTGAGTATTAGCAAAGGTAGATTTACTATGTAGGCACGTTCGTGCAGTCCTTCCAATCCGCTTACCATGAGGGAAATACAAAATTTTTTTCTGACTGTAGTCATTTCTGCTGTGGACAAAATAATAAGAGATGTACTTTTCTTCTTTGTAGTATCACTCAAAGAGAACTTCCAGCTTGCAAGAGCTCACTAGAGACGGCTTATACGTTTAACTTCATCGACATGTTTCTCTGAGTTCTTAAGAAATCACAATTATGTTGACTGCAGTAAACAACACTCGAAACGTTCCTCCTTGCATGTTCATTGCTAAAAACTATTGTCACAAGAACACGTGATCAACTCCGTAAGCCTTAGAAACGACGAATCGCTGCATAACGGTGATTCCCCACAAATTATCAAAAAAAATCAAAATGACCTTACTGAGGCAAAAACAGAATCTTCTCGACGTACTGGTCTGTGGTCTGTTCAGATTCAATTTGTTTGCTTGCCTTCGCTCCGGCCTCTGAGTGTTAATCAAAAGTAACGAGCGGGCTTACGATGATTGAAATGATGAAGCGACACGCCTAATGTTGATTATGAAAATGATCGCACTCGAAACGCAAGCCTTGGCTGGTTAAATTACTTTCAGCTGAAATAGAATTTCTGAAAATTTAGTGAGGGACAGAAATAAAGACAAACAAGTTTTAAGTGTCTGTTGCTAAGCAGAAATCCAAGAGAGGAAGAAAGGAAACGGGAAATAACAATATTAGCTCACGAGAGGAAACGCGCGGCTGGACGCGTTCGCGCGTAAAGGAAGTGGGAGAGATTTAATTTTGTTGTGTGATTCACGACGGCTCGAAGACACCAATGCCCCCCAATAAGTCTTATAAGTCGCGAATCGCAAACTGCTTAAAGGCCATTACGAAAACACACACACAATTTTAAAACGCAAATACAAATTCTTCTCTTAGAAACGTAAATAAACTCTCAGCCGAGGTTCTCGCGCGAGGAAGAAAAGTGACGCAAAGCAGGAAGCGTGCTTGCGAACATGGAAGCGAGGCCATACACACGAACCAATCATTAAGAAGAAGAGGAGCTGAGACTACGAAATAAAGCGGATATTTCCGGTTTGATCTGCATTGCGGTAGAGGACGTTTTCTTGAAAACATCGCAATTTATACAAACGAAAACCTGAAAGACATGTCTTGGTATGAACCAGACGAGCCTCGGTATCGAGAAGAAGTGTCTCTTCGAAAAAAAGAATTTCATCCCGTCAACTATGTCGATGTCGTACTTACTTACAATTTAACTACTGGAGGTAAGTTGCTATTTGGTTCACGACACGGTTCATGTAACTATTCCTATTTTGCTCGATGTCCAAAGTGTTTGACTTCGCTCTGACTCCATTTTGCTCCGGTCAGCTTTTAGAGCAAGGGGTGGACGGTGCAGCACACCGATACAAAATCGGTGGGGGTACCCAACAGTGACTATTACATCGAACTACTCAGGATATAGTTATGAAGTGACCCGACGTGGGCCAGAAGGTACGTGTGGATGAACTTGAATCAATTCTTTCGTCGTCTCTCAGTTGCAAGATATTCGTTTATCTTTCTGACCAAAGCCAGATCTTTTAAGATTGATATATCTAGCAGCGATAGATCTCGAGGAAACCTAGAATTATACACCTTTTTAAACGGTGTCAAAGCTGGTATTCAGTGGAATACCGCAAAATATGTACTTGAAAACCTCGTGGTAGGTTTAGCGCAAAACGAAACATGGTTCTCTCATTTCGGGCTGTTGTCATTTTTTCCGGAACAATTTATCTCTCACGATAAAAAGGTTCTCTCAGAGCAAAGCTTCTCCAATGTTCTAAGAGTTGCTTACTATACAAACAATAATTTATCTTCACGACAGAGACATGAATTTATACTGTCGATGACTTTGGCGCCTTGATGGATTAAAGTACACAATGTTCGTTACTCGTATTTATTGTGTGGAATTCTTTACATCAGTTTCTGTATGGGATTCTATTTTTTAATAATAGTTTCACCAATGCTTTGCCTACATACACTTTCCAGCCTCGTGTATTGCAACCAGAAAGAAACACAAACCATTTAGCAACATAGATTGATTAGATTTTCAATTCAGTAAGGCACTTTACCATCAGTGGTGACATAGTACAAGATCTTACAGATTACCTATCTAATTTTCGAATTTTTCATAAATTTACAATAATGCCTTGCACTGTTGAAATATTCAGGAGAATATTACTCGAAAATCGATCAGTAGGTCTTGATCAATGACATTTAGTTAATTGACCGGGAAACTGTTTTAGCTTAATGCCAGTAAATGCACTTTGTTGAGATCATTCTAGTCAAAAATTTCGAGTACAATAGATAAACATATACCAGTCAAGCAACCGTCTCGGAGGGAAAAAGAGCTTACATCAAAGGCATGGATAATTGGTACTCTACCAAAATCTATTCGAGTTCAACGTTATAATTGCAAAAAATACCTTAACACAAGCTACCTATCGCCACAGGGATATAGAAGGCTACTAAGCTAGTAGAACACTTCAAGTCACAAACGAGCCACAAACTAGCAAGATTATGGAGATTAATTCCTTAATTATGGAACTTAAAATTGTTGCCAATGTATTCAATGATTATTTGGCCAAAGTTGGTAAAAACTAGACAGTGAAGTAAAAATCGTTAGATATCTGTAGATATTTCATCTTGGATGAAAATACTGTTTTGCATTGCAAGAAAATTTTCCTAATCGTAGTCCACTTGATTTAGTTGATCTCTATTTTTCTGTATGTCAACTGGTACACGAAGTTGGGTTACCACTGCTTATCTCCGTTTGTGTGTGTGTCTATATTAGTTTGTTTCTTTGTTGAAAAAATGACACTTATTCCTCTTAGCAGACTATACCACTGACAACAGAGCTAACGGGATGAGAGTGGAAACAGTTTGTTATTAGTTGTGGTAAGTGGACAAACTTTTTCGACTTCACAGAGTCCACGAATATTCGCAAAGGATCTCTTAGCACGCACGGTGGTAATTCAATCTATCTTCGTACTATGTAAAAATATTTTATCACTTAACTGATATTTAACTAAAGGTTGAAACTGAGAGGTACTGAGATAAACCGTCGTAACGAGAAATTAATAACTTGTATTGGTGTTTTCCTTAAATGCAATGGTTTGTTAGTGTGAAAATAAATGTTCTCTTTTCTTGCTTTGGTTTCAGAATACTCAACGGTGTTGATACAACAAGTTTATAATTAGCTAAAACGTTACGCTTGAAGTGTAAAACAAGGAAATAAAGTTCATGACCCAGTATCAATAACACTGTCTCTATCATTCTACAAAATTAAACAACTATTGACGACTAAAACACAACGCGCGAGAGAGATAGTTAATGCACATCAGTAATACTATCTTTTTTTAAGGAAAGATATGCGCTTTTTACGTTCAATTATTAACAATCACCCGAACCAAATCTTATCTACGTTTCTGTTCGACTAGAGGTTCTAGAATTCCAATGTCTTGCTCAGTTAATGTTTCTTTGAGTCCTATCAGGAGATCCAAGAAAAATATGAGTAGGGGGAGAGAAGAAAGTTCCATGAGAGAGATTTATTTGGTGCTAGTTGGGTGTTTTTCGATAGCATGACATTGCTAGCTACATTTCAATAAGAATTTGCTCATATCTCCAATTTCAAACTCTCACAGGAACTGCTATGACTTCACCATTGTAACAGTGCGCGCGTTGGCATTATGGGATCCGTGACATCATGAATAAATTCCGCACCAAGAAAGTGCTTACTCGTGTCATTTTTGCGATTTCAAACTCCGCCGCAAAGAAGATAACACCTCTTTCTTGATATACACTTTTAGCTTTGTCATGAGCTGGTATCCACCTCCCGATTTTGTCGATAACACCTGCGAAATTGTGAAAGTCCAGACTAATCTAGGTCAACATGTAGCGACAATCTTTCGCAAGCCACCAAATGGAGGTATGTCCGCAACCTTTCCTAGTCTGACAAGTCAGTAGATAAAAACTCAGTTTCCTAACATGTTTTCCTTATTCGCGTTAGAATTCGAAGTTCACGGGGCTTGTTTGGTTCGTAATGAACTGGTACAGGACTTCGACTGGCGACGTAATCGGAATCGCCCATATAGAAAACTACGAATCGTAACTTCTTTGGGAAGCGTTTTGGATATCAAGCGCCGTGGCACAAATGGTATTTTGCTGATAACTTTATCACTGAGGTTTATTATAAAGAAAACAAGTCGTCAAAAACTCAGTTACACGATTTTCTCCCCCTTTTAAGATTACGAGATTGAAACTTCAGGATTTCACTTGACTGGAGTAAAGTCGGTGAGCATTTGAGTGAGGTAAGAAGAAGGAAATATAGCTCTACTGTACTACTGTATAGCACTTTACAATTTCGATCAAAGAAGAAAAACCTACGTTAAACATTTGAGAACGAAGGCTTTATGTGCGGAGGCCCCGCGCTAATAATATAAAGTGATATGACAGAAACTAAATTACGAAGGTATTTCGATATTAAGCTAAGAAGGTCCTTGCTCTTTGGGTAATTAGTATGACATGTATGGGATCGTAGTCGCCATGACCTGGTTCTTGTTTGATTCCTTCAACCGAAGCACAGCACTATCCAATTAAGAGTTAAATCTACTATGAAACACCTGGAGCAATCCAAAAACTGCAGCTCAATGCCTATGTCTCGTGATAACCGATCATTTCTCGGAGATGTTATCGAATTTTACTTCCAATGGCCCTCACACGAGCGAAACGAAAGCATTCGGTCGATTGCGGCGCGAAAGATACTCGACCAAATTGACGTCTTTCGGACTGTTCTTCTCTTTTAAGCAGATCTCTGTCTTTCTTTACAGGCTTAGAAATGAAGACGATACGACTCCTGAATGTAGAAAATAGCACTGTAATGATTTTGTCAGTAGAATAAACATTATTTCTAAATGCCATGTGCTTACGCCTTGTTGCTATAATCACTTGTTCACAGCTATGGGCTAGAAAAACAAAGCAATAAACGCAAATCGGTGTAAGTTTCCCTTTAGGATAAAGCCAAAACTCGACCAAAAAAGACGCATTTGTAAATTAAAAATGACGTAATATCTAAAATAACACGGTAACTCTGGGCGAAAGTGATGAAGATCTGTCTGCTCAATACCATCCCCCCTTTCATTCTTTTCGACTAAATCAATATTCACAGTTGGAAAGGCTAGCAAATCTGACAAGCGACGCGAAGTATTATGTTGACCGCGACGATGAACGATTCGTCCTCTTGAATCCCTTAAATTTCAATGTTTTGTATAATGTACAGTGGTAAAGTGATAAGTGAAAGTTAAACGAGCATAACGACAAACGCACGACAAAAGATGACCCTGCGCGCAGTGATGGTAAACAAACTGTGGATGCACGCGCACGCACGCAACGCGAGAAACATGCGTGGAGGGAAACAACAAGAAACTAGGTAGTTTGACGAAAGGATACATTGTGAGATGCACAATCTTTGGGAAAGTTTCTTTACCTCCTCGTCCTTCTTATCACAAGAATTGCTAAGCACAAAGGGAAAAGCCTATTTTCCTCCCTTGGCGGCCGAACAGTGTAATATCAAACCATCAGATAATGTTATGCAGATTTGAAAGTCAGAAATGGAATTGTTGACTAAACCCTAGTGAAATTCGATTGACTCAAACCTACTTCCTGTATCTCTATACCTTTTGCTTTCCTTCAATAAAAGTGCACTGCAATGCAACACGCACTAATCTCAACAAACTTATGGCTACCACCTCTCAGAGCAAATACCTCAACGTACAGAACGAGAAGGATATCATAAGAGCCTCAAAATGTATCCTATATAAAGTCAATTTTAGATTGCACGGAGCATTTTTTGGCCCCCGACATGTATTCATTGCGACTGTCAGTGTTTATACATGACGCACCAAGTAAATTAGCATGCTAACCAGAGTCCCACAAGGAGCGCATGTCACTGTGACGTCTGAAGTACGCGGCCGGCGCTACTGGGCAAAAGAGTAAAAGACTCCGTCCATTATCACTGCGTCTCGATCATATGCAACATGGCTGAGCCGGTTGAGCCCTCCAATGATTTCATTGAGTTTGTGATTGTACAGAGAGCTTTTGTTTCCTCTCCAGAAGCGATAATATTATACGAATCAAGGAACCGAAGTAGGAACATGAAGATACGTTGGTCGAATTTCAGCCAAATATTGACATTTTTTCCGAATACTAAGCTGAAACTTTGCTTGCAGCCTTTACGGTACAAGCTGGATATTTGGTTAACGAATCAAGAGAGCAAAATGGGCGACGCCTTTCAATCATAACTACCGCTGGAACCATTTTAGAAATCAAACGAGGGAAGCGAGGTAATGTTCTATGTATTGTTATTCGTCATACTTGTTGATAACCACGTCTTAGAATATATATTGCTTCCTTTCTTTAAAGGGGACGTTCAGAGAAGATACACGATTGAAGACAATAGTTTCAGTCTCGCTGTCTCCAGAACGTATTTGCTGTATTAACTCCAAGGTAAGCAGAGCTATCGATTTTTTTCCTTTTTCATTTATTAACTTGATATTTTCGTCAAACCCACAAATACCTTAAGACATTCATTCATTCTTTTCATTAGAGAGGAATAAAAGAAAACCATTTCACGACATAACTTATGTCTCACCCTCCTCATTAGAATAAAAAAAGTGCATCGAATCACGGCGCAAACATAATTCAGGGTTAGTAACACCAATCTCTTAGTTACACAATCTTCCATCATATAAGCATCTCCACATCTGTTTTAAGTCTAAAATAAAAACTTTAAAATTTTTTTCTCTACAGCTAGAAAACTTTATCGAGGTCGTTCAAGTAAGGAGGATGCTTCCTATTAAAGCATATTTAATTCAAGTAATCTGTTAAAACAATGGCCACGTAATAAATTACAAGAATTCAGCGAGTTTATTCTCAAACAAGTTTCTCTCTGCGACTGCATACGGATCTACAGTTTGATCTTGTGAATTTCCTCGAAAAAAAGAAATGCAGACGAATAATACGACCACCAATCGAATATTTGACAAAAATAAAAAGCGCACGCACACATTCTTTCCCTAGAAAGGACTCGAAAAGCCTCCAACAACTTTTGAGGTGCAACAGATAAACATCTACTTCTCCTTACGTGTAGCTCCTCCCCATCAGGCGAGGGTGGAATTGATTAGCTTTCTTTATCATCGATACCTCACGCGATGAAAGAAAACTCCATGGAATAAAGATTTCTTTGGTTAAAAACTTAATGATAAATACCGTACGAATAAGCACTCAAAAGCTAAGCACAGTTTCACTATATAAGAAAATTGACCATATTTAAAGGTAAAATACTTCTTTAGGAGAAAAAAGAAAGGCAGGCGTGTTGAGCAAGCGACCAAATCTCTTCAAGACAAAAGCCTTAAGAAGAGCGCAATATCAAGGACGACCGATATGATGACCTGTCTGCCTTTTAGTTGTGCCAGCATTCTCAAGACTATCATAAACAAGTTTACCAGCCGCAGTACACCATTGCGTTTTTTTGCTACGCAGATAAACAAATCAAAAACGAAGTGCTTTTGTTGTATGATATCCTTCACTAAGCAATATGGGTACTACTTCGAGCGAAAAAAAAAAGCTAGGACAAAGAATGGCAATAACACACCTTAAATTTCGAGCTTCATTTCCAACCTCCACTTGCATTGCAGTTATCAACCACAGTTCTTCCAAACATTACTCGACTAAGCCAACATTTTCATTTACGCAACAAACAATACAACTGCGTGAGAGATTCGGTGTCCTTAAATACAACGCGGGCTATTTAATCGTGACGTATTTTGTCTATGAATTGTGATTGGTGTAGTCGTGACATCAAATTGACGGCTTAGCAAAATCAAAAGCACTCACGAACGAGATGCTTCGAGAAGTCTTCCCAATAGTCTCTGGTATTTAACTGAACAACTCATAAAATTACACGCACAGTAGTACAGCTGAGGAATTAAAACTGCATTGTAGGCAGCTCAACAGAAGTATGAGTAAATCTACGCTATGAAAACGTGTTTGAGACAGATTGAATCAACATACTCTTAAAAAAATTTAAAATCCAGCTTGTAGAATACGACAGCTGGCTCTGATTTCTTTCTGCATTCTCGACCCAAATACTCCTCTTCTTACTTGGAGCAGAAAAAGTCATGTGCCTGTGCAATCTAATGAGCATGACCTGTTATCAGCTGGCTTATTACCCAATAGCTTTAAATCAATAGCTTTAAATTGCAAAAAAGCCTCCAAGAAAAATCATAAACTTCATAGAAGATAGTGATTTTATTTGATCTAATAGTTATGCCCTACTCCTTGGTATGATGTAAGCAATGTTAATCGTACTCAAGATAGCTCTGTTAAAAGTCTGAGGGTTGATTTTCTCTGTCATTAGGCTGACTAAAAGATGGGTAAGTCTCCATTCTGATCACTGAGTGATCGAGTCTTCCAGAACATCCTAATGTAACAGTGCAACCCAGACCACAAAAATGTGTCAAAAATCTTCTTAGATTTTAGAGTAACAGACATTTAATCATGCCAGTAGCAAGTCAGTCACCACCTACCTATTAGTTGCATTAGCTCTTTCAGGGATGCAATAAATGTCCAAAACCTTTAAGCACACCGTGAAGCCTCGTCAGCTGAATCAAATGTAGAACAGCGATGAATGATCCACACAAATGCGAAGGTGTTTCAAATCGACCAAAAAGTTATGATCGCTTTGTACAGTAAGCTACTACTGTAAAAGTTTCATTAACAAGCCTACACATTATATAGCCACCATGTACAACATGAGATAGAATACCACAGAAGAGCTCGGCTGAGTGGGATTCTTTTGAATGTTCACACAACAGGGTTTTATCCTCACAACTCAAAAGCACGACCACTTCGCAAAGTAGAAAGAAGAGGAAACCACGTGAAAATTCTTCTCAGTAGCTACATTTCTTTGGACATTTACTAGAGTTTTGTTCACAGACTAAAACAAGTTAGGATTCAATTGCAGATCATGATTAGTAGCACCAGAAGAAATTTTTGCTCAGTTCTTTTGACACAAGCAGCTTCCAAAGGCAGAGAGGATATAATTTTTGAAAACTCTTAAAAAAAAAAGACTTGAAATACAGAATGAGATTTATAAAAAGTCGGAGGGAGTCTATTGATGTACACAGGTCACACAGATACGAAATTAGGGAAAAGCCCTGAGACCACATAAACAAAGAAAGCATAATAGTTGTACGTGGAGAAGACAATACAATCTATTGGGATTCTCCCATAGTAGAGGGATTTTTTTAATGGCAAGGTAGGGAAAAATAGCTCCTAGCTCATGCAATAATACCACAACGCTTGCAGATTTCATACTTACGAGCTTTATAACCAGTATCAGAGATATCGCCAAGCAGTTAAAAGTACTCACAGAGACACGCAGATCATTTTGGTAGAGAAGCTACACCAGTCGAAGGAATCATGGAAAATACATCAGATAGAAAAGGAGCACAGAGTCAAGCAGCAGGTGAAGGTCGGAAATCAACGCCGTATCAACGAATAGTGATCGCATGCCCTGAAAATCACATTATTGTGGTGAAGAGATTTTCGAACGGAGGTAAGAACGCACCTATGTTGTTTATTAAGGATTCAGGGATTCCACACTTTATGGTGGTGTGTTTTTGTTACAGAAGTCAAAGTCGAAGGAGGACGACTTGTCGCTGTTGAAGATAAGAAGGGCCGCTAGATGAGAGGTTTGTTTATGTAATTCCGTTGTTTGTCTCAAGATGAATAAAACTGAAAGTAAACAAGTCCAAAACTGGACAATCGATACAAACATTATGCCAGAAAATTAACTCATCTAGAGATAGTTCGCACTCATACTTGAATTAATAAGCTGCTTCAGATGCGTTGAAAACAGATGAAATCGAGACGATAAAAACAGAGTAGACGAGATAATTGCATTTGTAAGGGAGTATGATGACGGCATAATTAGCAAACGGGAAAAAGCAATAACCTTTGTAATTATGTAGGTATGCATGGCGAAGATAAAGAGACAGAAATGAGTGTCCAAAGCGAAGATAAATAAGCGGAAACTATTAATGAACAGAATAGCAGATACAAAATACAACTCAACGTGAAAGCTGTTAAGGTAGCGTGACTGACCAATACTCGATTTGTTCTGAATGTATTCCCACAAACGAAAGAAAGCAGAAAACTACGAAGAATAGAAATAATTATCGTAGCTTTCGTCCTGTTAATCAAGTAGTAGCTTCTGCGCTGATGCTACACTAAATCCTCAAAACAAATTTGGATCAAAAGTATGGCAATCCGTAAGGAGAATTCATGTACGCATGTATGTCAAAGGAGCAACGTAAAAGGAATTTTCAGCCAAAAGCTTTAGCCTACATTTTTTTCAGCTGCCCTTGTCACGTTTTGATTTATCATTACCTAATTTTGTTTTTTTTCCCACCAATTTCATCTAATGCCTAGGAGATTCCTTTAAGTTTCAATAATAATTTGAAACGTCTCTGAGAAAAAGTCACTCAAAACATTGTGAGCCTTCGAGCAATAGAAAGAGCGCAAAGTTTTTATTGAGCTTCAAATACTAATATATGAACTACGCTTCCAGTATCTAGAGTCTTCGAGATCAATCTATTGTAAGCATAGGCAACTGATATATTCGGTGAATTGAGCAGATCAGCTTATGAATTTTCCGCACCATTTTTAACAGGTGGACAAAAGCACAGGAGACACAATCAAAGCTTATAACAAGCAATGGGAAGACTAACTAAAAAAAATGAGTTAAAACTACGATCTTTTACCAAGTAAAATGTGATATTACAACCTAATTTTGAGAAATGTAAATTTCTGCGAAGGAGTGTTAATGGCATCTCTAAGTTTCCAAAAATTATCCCAGTAATTTTCCCACGATTTCAGTCCTCAACTTACTCCTAAGGCAACCGGTACCAAATTATTCTCCAAAGTATCTCGCGAAATGTCTCCACTCCTTTCAGAGAAAAAAAGTCTGATCTGTTTTGCTTTAGTAAATCTTTCTATCTTCTCTCTTTCGGTGGATGCTCAAACGTTCGTAGAACAACAGCTTAGAAAACTCAGAACATACCTTCCAAAAGCAATTTCATCAACTTCCAGTTTCCTAAAAGGAAATAAATTGGCTTGTGGGAGCACAAAGTTGGTGTGGTCAAAGGATCTGTCTATCTGCTCAAAGTAGTTCTCTCGACCAACAAAAGCCTATTGATTGTAGAAACACAATTGAGGCATTCCGAAGATGTATGGTCAAATCAAGATAACATAAATCTCGTTAAAATAACAAAAGGCAATTAAAAAAGGCATTAAATCGGTTGTGGACACCCTAATGGCTTTAGACAGCTGGGAACTTTGGGATAGCTTTGCCTAGTTTGAGATCATATTTTTTTTTTTTTTTTTGTAACTTGGCCTACCGACTCGAGATGATGAACACTTCAAAACATAATTCTAAGTTTCTCGTAATTGAACGCAATCGATGGAGCAACAAGGGCCCTTTGTGAGCAAATTCTGAGGCGTAAGGCTAGGAATGATTTTTCTCAACCTGACAAGTTCAATGAAAGAGTCGTTAATTCTCAGGCTTCGTTCGCTGCTCGAAATGCTGGTATTTCATTGGATGAGGCGTGTGCGTTAAGGGCGTTTTTCCCCTCTTACAAACGTTTTTGAATAATTTATAGTGACCTTAACATCACATGATCGTTTCTCCAATAGCGCTTCGAAATTTTTTACTCTCGTTCGTTCTAGAGCCACAGCTAAAATTATTTCTTTTTTAATCCATTTTTTTGGGGGAGGGGGGGGAAGGGCAAGGGGGGGCTATACAAGGATGGCACTTTCTGCGTTAAATCTGAAATGGTAGTAACCAGTGCCACACCTCATTTCAAATACATGAAGTACTCCGTCTCACTTAATCTTTGTTTGGAGAGCAGCTATTTATCTAAAGTTGTGGATAAAGGCTCCTAAATTTAGACAATTTTATTTCAAACAGTGGAATGATAATCTCAATTTAAGCCAGGAATATTTTCAAGGCTTTTGTAGATTTCATCTTGGCTAAGGATATTTTATTTCTGATCTCGCATCTTACCCCAGGGAGTAATTTTGGCCACCACCCGATCGTCCCGGTCCTCGTGACGTGGGAGTACACCCGAAGAGGAAGATACTACTTATTCTTGCGCTGCCTCTCTTCACCCTGGAGAATGTGAAGGAGCCCATGAATTGTCATGGTAGCCAAACAGAGTCCTCAGAGGAGGGGGAAGGGGTCCAAAGGGAGTCCTTAGAGGAGGGGGAACGGGTCCAAACAGAGTCCTCAGAGGAGGGGGAAGGGGTCTAAAAAGAGTCCTCAGAGGAGGGGGAAGGGTTCCAAACTGAGTCCTCAGAGGAGGGGGAAGGGTTCCAAACTGAGTCCTCAGAGGAGGGGGAAGGGAGCCAAAGAGAGTTCTCAGGAGGGGGGAAGGGGTCCAAACAGAGTCCTCAGAGGAGGGGAAGGGGTCTAAACAGAGTCCTCAGAGGAGGGGGAAGGGGTCCAAACAGAGTCCTCAGAGGAGGGGGAAGGGGTCGCACGACTTCTGCAGCGCACTATCATT